ATATACTATAGATAATATATTATTAACAATTTTTAAGGCTTTATTTATATAATTTGTTTTGTATATTTTAAATTTTGCGTAGTAAAGGCCGACGCCTAAAAAATAAACTTTGCCGCTATAAAATTAACATGAAATCAATCGTGCCGAATAATTAATTATATTAATATTCATGATCATTTAATTTGATATCTTTCTCGTTATCATAACTATTATACTTTCGCAAGAGGTTAAATAATTCCGGAAAAACATGTGTGTGTACATCTGATGCCCATATGAAATCTAAAACAAGAGTTGTACTCTCGTTAGTTGATGTAATAGTAAATATTTAAAAATTGTTTACTCACCCAAATGCTCATAGGGTGGCACCTCCTTAGCAAACACTGGTTTAGGTAGTTGTTTAAGAAGAACTTCAATATTCACTAAACTATCACTTCCTCCATAAAACACACTAATAGGTGTTTGGATCTGTTCTGTGGGAAATTTGTGACAATAATGGCCCATGGCAGTAGGTGATGAATATGGTGGTAATTCATCATACATTTGGAAGCTATTGGCACGAATTATTTGAAACCAATGCTATGGAAATTTATAAGTCAAAATAATTGTTAATTAGGTAATATGAATAGAAAGTTACAATTCACATACCACCAAGCTTTTAACACTTGTAAAATTATACAAGTGATAATATGATACGGCTTTTTGTTCTTCTTTCATATTCTTTCCAGACCAACCAAAGAGGAATTTCATACATGTATCAAGTAATTTTGTATAAATTGGGGGAGAAAGAACTCTCTGCCAAAACATTGCCATAGTAAGAAATGCCTTGCGTCCAAAAAAGAGATATACAATATTAGGTGAAGCCTTGATAAAAGCGTCAACAATTGGATTTTGTAAACCTGAGTAAAAATAATGAATAAATGATTATAATATTCTGATATAATGAATAATAAAGTGTATATTTATTTACCTTTAGGACTAGTAGCAGGAGCCAAGGCAACAAAAAGATTAACCTTTTTGTTAAGTTTTGGATTGATTGAAAGAGCTGCAAAAGCTTGTGCTGCTCCTTGTGAAAATCCAATATATGTAAGAGAGGGTGCACCAGTTGTCTCAAGAATATATTACATTACTACAATAAGATTGTAGTATACAGTTAAGTACGTATGTTTGTTTATTTAAACATAAAACATTAATTCAGTAATTACGAAATGAATGAAGAATAGTTACGTCAATGGTATCTGGTAAATCGTATAAGGCAAATTCATCCATAGAATATTCCCAGAATTTTCTTGAGCTCGGCTTATACTTAGAATGTTTCATAGAATATTTATTTCCTCGAGCATTACCAAACCAGACGTCGTATCTACATTTTATATTGCATCAAAATAAATTACTAAACAAATCAAAAAAACGATAACACGTGTCATGTATAATTAAACATGCCCTCTCTTCGTCTAAATTACACATCCAAATTTCGCTACACACCATAAGTCCGTGGTATAATAAAACTACTGGCTTTAGTTCTTTTGAAGAGCGCACTTGCTCAATCCGAATGGCAGTATGAGAGACACCACATTTATCAAATATAGACTCTATATAGGATTTTGAATCAGCATCACTAGGTGAATATTTTCCCTCGGGGAGGCCGTGAATTCCGAGGATATAATGATCTTGTGTTCTAACAATGTGCTCTTCTATAGTATATCCCCTTAAAACTATATATAAGAATTTGAATGATAGTTAACAAGAAAAAGAAAGAAAAAAAAATTCACCAATATTTAGCCATTTCTCGAAAAGTTTTGGCAGTTTGCATGTTTTTTGCCGGACGTGTTCGCGTTTCCTTGTATCGCATCGAGAATAATCTTTTTGATAACAAACAAAAAACAAGTTTGTAAATAGATTACACATATGTGCTGCATATATATTCTCGAAGTATACTTTTGGCTTTGTCCTTTAAAATACTCTAGCGCAAATGTTGGGAGACAATGCGTGACAACTCGGAGAAGGCCTTCGAGAAATAAAAAAACGAGACCGATTACCAATGCTTGGTAATCGCGAAAGTTTAGACGGCCAAGAATGGGTAGTGGCATTATTGATATTGATTTAAATCGAGTTAATTGGGTTTAACAATGTTTAACATGTTAACGATAATGCTGTAATGAGGATATTCATTAAATTTTGTAACATGCATAACACGTGTATATTAGGCAATACGTACGTATGTACAAGTTTCATAAATTATTTCTCATAACCCGGCCGTTTGTCCGGATGGGAATCAGC